TTGCCTAATCTTCAGCCACCAACAGGCAACATTGAGTGGACACAGGGGGTTTTGTCATTTATAGCACGGTACATCAATCAAGGCTGTGTCATTTGCAACACAAGTGAATTTGTTAATTTCTTATCAAATTTTAGTGTTAACCTCTTATCATACTCTGCTACTTTAAATATTTTTTAATTCAATGCAAGTATCCTTTCGTTTCTCAAAGGAGAAATACATTTTTTTTGTAAGTTGGTACATTTAGCTGATGTTAACTGCCTTTTTGACCATCTTTTTCTTTTTAAGTACGATGTTAAACTGAAAGTTTTTAAGAAGCTTAATTCTTCTCACTTTTTCAGTTCCAAGTGAAAGTGAAGAAGCACCTGAACGAGGAATTGCACTGGATTTTGATGGCAATGCCTTACAAGGTGTGGTTCAATTTAACCTAATTCAGTTACTGTACTTCAAGAACATTTACTCTCCCACCTGAGTGAGGAAGGAATTAAAAAGTTAAATTGAGAACAGAAATAGGTCACCTTCCTTGATTGCAGTTCACTTTTCCTGTGATTTTATACCTTTCCATTCAGTCAGTGGACTAAAATGGAAAGTAATAACACTGCTGAAGGTTCTGTTTTAAGACTGTGTGTGAGTAATTGTGTTTTTGGGTCTTGTGATCACTACACTTGTCTCTTACTGATGTATTCAAGTTATCAAAGTGAAAAAGTAGACTCTTAAACACAATCAATCTTCTTAGAGATTTAACTGATATGTTTACACAAATCTTTGTTTATTTTTTTCTTTGCAGCCATTGCTGAAGTTTACAGGAATAAGGGTAATGAGGCCTTTAAGAAAGGAGATTTCCTCGATGCTATTCACTTTTACACAGAAGGAATTAAAGTGAACTGCAAGGACAAAGAACTGAAGGCCAAACTGTACAACAACAGAGCAATTGCACATTTTAAACTTGGTAAGATGACCAGAGCTTTGATATCAGTTTTCTGTTCTTGCAAGGGCTGTAGTGATTTTTCAAAAAGCCAGTGAGAATTTTAATTGTAAATTGCCAAAGAGAAATTTCCAGAAAAAAGTGACCCTTATCCTGGCCTTTCAATCATACCAGGAGGTAATTTCTTATCTTAGAAATCAGTGGGCATCACAATTTTTTACAAAAATTGTGATGATCTTGAAAGTGGTGGGTTTGCCATAGCTGATTGAATAGATAGTGGTATATTTATTTTAAAAACAGGAAATCACGAGGATTCACTGAGTGATGCAAAAGCTGCCACTGAGTTGCAACCAACTTTCCTCAAGGCAATTGTGAGAGGTTAGATGTGTTTGTTGTTTTTCTTTTCAAAATTTGTCATGATTTTCTGTATCAGGTTAACTGTGTGAAATGCATCAAATGTCCAAAAATAACTTTAAAACCAACGACACTTTACTCCGAATAGTTTCAGAAGAAAATGATTATATTGATTTACCTAACTAATATTATTAAAAACTAGATCATTGGATAATGCAATTCAAGACTTTTTATTGGCTTAGCCATTATGGTATATCAGCCAATATACCATAATCTACAAATATGGCAAGCATNACTCTAATATTCATGCAGCCGGTGTGTACATTGTTCCTGGGCAAGAGATCTCTCTGAAACGCGTGGAAAGGTAAGCTTAGTAATGTTCAGGTGGCGATATTCTTCCCTGACTTTTGCCCACTACTGACACATGCTGCTCAAAGAAAACAGGCAATCAAGTGTTTGGAAACAAGGGGCTATATTCAGATATCTCGAGTTAAAATTTGAGATTACAGACAGAAAGGAAACTTTATGTTATGTGCAGAGTTACTTCAGAACTAAGTCTTACTGCATAGATGAAACATTCACTTCAGTTGTAAGCCCTTCTTAAATCAAATACCGATGTGATCAGAAACACCTTTTTTGTTTTTGTATTTTGTTTTTTGATGTTTTATTAATGGTGTAACCTTAACATAAAAAAAGATTGAAAAAAAGAATAAGATCTTGTTGTCATTGAGAAGTCATTCTGTCAGAGAAGTGGGAGCTAAGTCCGTGGAGGAAAAAGATCATATCAGCTGTGATCACACCAGTGCAAGTTCTGGTGATGTAAAGAAAGTAATAGACTACTATAATCAACTTGCTAAAATTGCCAAAGAAATGGGTGAGAAGTCAGCTGAAGGGTGTGCTTATGGTGAACTCGGGAATGTTTTTCTGAGTGTAGGTGAAATCAAAAGAGCTGTAAACTACTACAGCCTTTGTCTTGATATTGCTAAACATGTTGGTGACACACCTCTAAAGGGAAAAGCCTACAGCAGTCTTGGCAGTGCTCATCACAGACTCGGTGATATAAAGAAAGCCATAGAGTACCACCAACTACACCTTAAAGTAACTAAACAAGTAGGAGTCAAGTATGAAGAGAGTGTGGCTTATAGCAATCTTGGCAATGCTTATCAGAGTCTGGGTGATTTCAAAAAAGCCGTAGAGTACCACAACTTACAGCTTAAAATAGCTAAAGAAATAGGAGACAAGGGCGGGGAGGGTAATGCTTATGGCAGTCTTGGCAATGCTTATCAGTCCCTAGGTGATCTAAAAAAGGCCATAAAGTACCACAACCTACATCTTAAAATAGCTAAAGAAATAAGAGACAAGGGTGGGGAGGGCAATGCAAATGGCAATCTTGGCAATGCTTATCTATCCCTGGGTGATTTCCAAAAAGCATTAGAGTACCACAAACTACATCTTGAAGTAGCTAAAGAAATAGGAGACAAGTGTGGGGAGGGTCGAGCTTATGGAAATCTTGGTAATGCCTATCAGAGTCTGGGTGATTTCAAAACAGCATTAGAGTACCACAAACTACATCTTGAAATAGCTAAGAAAATAGGAGACAAGGGTGGGGAGGGTAATGCTTATGGCAGTCTTGGCAATGCTTATCAATCCCTGGGTGATTTCCAAAAAGCCATAGAGTACCACAAACTAGATGTTGAAATGGCTAAAGAAATAGGAGACAAGGGTGGGAAGGGTCAAGCTTATGGAAATCTTGGTAATGCCTATCAGAGTCTGGGTGATTTCAAAAAAGCATTAGAGTACCACAAACTATATCTTGAAATAGCTAAAGAAATAGGAGACAAGGGTGGGGAGGGTAAAGCTTATGGAAATCTTGGTAATGCCTATCAGAGTCTGGGTGATTTGAAAAAAGCATTAGAGTGCCACAAACTATGTCTTGAAATAGCTAAAGAAATAGGAGACAAGGGTGGGGAGAGTCAAGCTTATGGAAATCTTGGTAATGCCTATCAGACTCTAGGTGATTTCAAAAAAGCATTAGAGTACCACAAACTACATCTTGAAAGAGCTAAAGAAATAGGAGACAAGGGTGGGGAGGGCAATGCAAATGGCAGTCTTGGCAATGCTTATGAAGCCCTGGGTGATTTCCAAAAAGCCATAGAGTACCACAAACTAGATCTTGAAATAGCTAAAGAAATAGGAGACAAGGGTGGGGAGGGTCAAGCTTATGGAAATCTTGGTAATGCCTATCAGAGTCTGGGTGATTTCAAAAAAGCATTAGAGTACCATAAACTCCATCTTGAAATAGCTCAAGAAATAGGAGACAAGGGTGGGGAGGGTAATGCCTATTCCAGCCTCGGTAATGCTTACTTTAGTCTCGGCGACTTTTTACAGGCCAAGGAGTCATATAACGTAACGCTTAAAATTGCGATAGAGGTTGAAAAGAAATCCTTGGAGGCATCGGCCCACTGTTCATTAGCAAATGTTTTCGGGTCACTGGGTCTACTACCAAACGCCGTTGAACATTACCAAGCAAGCATAACCTTATTCAATCCTCTGAGAATACTTCTAAAATCTAAAGATCAGTGGAAAGTTAATTTTCGAAATCAGAATCAAATGGCGTATACGGGTTTGTGGAGAGTTCTCGTGAAACAAGGTAAGATAGACGAAGCCTTATTTGCTGCTGAGAAAGGACGAGCTCAAGCTTTGACTGACCTGATGGAATCCAGTTTTTGTGGAGGAACAAGTCAGCCTAAGGGAGACGATGCAGATTTACAACTTTTAAAGAACATTCCATCAAACACTGTCTTTCAGGCAGTGGACAAAGACGACGTTTATCTCTGGATTGTGTCTGATGGAAATCAAATTCAGTTGAGACAAAGTAAACTCAAAGATTCTCTTTCAGAAAATAGTGGAGCAAGCCAGTCCTTTGAGTCGTTCGTCCTCGGTGTCTATAGAGAACTTGGTGTTCTTTCTAATGTGAGATGCGAGAATCGATCTTTGGATACTTTGAGGGAATGCCGCTCAAAAGTTCATAAGGAAACTGGAGAGGACACCCCTCAACCTCTTGTCCAAAAACAACAGTGCTTGGGCACTTTGTATGATAACATTATGAAGCCGGTGGCCGACCTGGTTGAAGGGAATCAGCTGCTAATTGTTCCCGATGGACCTCTGTGGCTCGTTCCGTATGCTGCATTGAAGGATGGTAATTCTAAATACCTTTGTGAATCATTCAGAATCAGACTTGCTCCATCGTTAACAAGTCTCAAACTCATTGCCGATTGCCCAGAAGATTATCACAAAAGCTGTGGCGCGTTTCTTGTAGGAAATCCGTGGGTAGGCGAGGTTACTGACAGCCATGGAAAGAAACAGCTGGAGCAGCTTCCGTGTGCTCAAGAGGAAGTAGAAATGATCGGACAGATTTTGAAGACCACTCCAATCACTGGTAGACAGGCCACGAAACGAGAGGTGTTGAAAAGACTCAATTCCGTTTCCTTAGTTCACTTTGCGGCGCACGGATGTATGGAAACTGGCGAAATTGCTCTCACACCTGACCCAGACCGAATATCTACTGTGCCAACGAAGGAGGATTACATTTTAACAATTGGAGACGTGTTGGATATTGAACTTCGCGCCAAACTTGTTGTGCTCAGTTGCTGCCATAGTGGTTGGGGCGAGATCAAGGCTGAGGGTGTGGTTGGCATCGCGCGAGCCTTTATGGGGGCTGGTGCTCGGTCTGTTGTGGTGTCCCTTTGGGCGATTGATGACGAAGCTACTCTTGAGTTTATGAAATGCTTTTATCAACACCTTGCAGAAGGTAAACTTGCAAGTGAGTCTCTTAACCTGGCCATGAAAAGCCTCAGAGAATCAGACAAGTACAGCAACATCAAATACTGGGCGCCTTTTCTGTTGATTGGAGATGACGTCACTCTTGACTTCAGGGCAAAGGAATGAGAAAATTTGAATATGAAACCAGATCGATGAAAAGTGGTTTTTTTTTATCTTGAAAAGAAAAATTGGCGCATGCACTTGGAAAGCTTGAATGTTTCTCTGATTTTGGAGTTTTTGGCTTCTTTTCATTCCTTTTTAGCTTGCCACTATTTTACCTGTATTTGAAGTGTCGTTGCTAATATTGGTAATTAAAACTTGAGATATGGAACTTTTTTCTTTGCTGAAGAAATAAAAACAGACTGTATCGTTAAATACTGATCAGTGGAATTGTCTTTTTTTAACCTTTAAAAATTTAAATGCTTGCCAAAAGAACAGAATGTAACAAGGCTTTTGTTGTGAAGGCCTGAAGTAGTTGAATGGTGATCACGAGATTTCAGTTATCACCAAAATGATAGTCAACTCTATTCTTGTATCATAATCAGTTGTACCCAAGTCAATTTAAAGATTTCTCTTGTACATAACCAGGAGCTTGTCCACTGGGTTTTCACTATATTTATACTCTAAGCTTTTGATAAGCCACCAAATTGTTCATTATTTGCTAAAGTTGGCTAAAGTTTGATTTCAAAATTCTATAATTTGAAGCCATATCTTAAATAAACTTGGATGGTTTTCCGCATAATAAGTACTTATTCTACAAGGACGTAAAG